TCTGATCCCAAGAATCTGAAAGTGTGTCTGTCAACCATGTGTTGAGTGTTTAAAATCTAAGCAGTCTTATCTTTCTACTGAAAATGTATTCTGCCTTGAAAGTGGTAATGCAATAGGTAGGAAGTATATTAACATAAACTTCTTGTAAGATTAGCAACTTCATAGGACAAGGCTTTTGGTCAATCAAACAAGATGGCTCCTACTTGTCACTCCAGGCCTGTAAGGGATCTTCACAGTTTCCACAGGGCTACAGAGTAAGGTACTCTTCCTAGGCTTCTTCACAATGACCGCAGTGGGGGCAAGGATACAAGACCAGACCAAGAACCAGTAACTCCACGAGGCCGGCTCATCCTGTACAGACTATGTCTGTGGTGGCAGGGTACAAGCAGCAGCAACTATCGGACTTCCTCAGAGTAGACAGATTGGTTTCCCAGCACTACCAGGAGGCCCTGCCTATACTCAAGGAGCAGTAAGGGGAGCAGAACTTGCTTCCTTCTTACCCTCCAACTCCCTATCTTAATGAACAAAGAACCAAGAATTCCTAAAAATGGAGGGCCTCAACTGTTTTACTCCCTCAGTATACAGGTCCCGATGTGCATATGAATGACAACATCTGATAGGAGTAGCCAAGGCTGGAGGGGAGAGAAAAGGTATTACGGATAATGTGAAATTAACAGCAGTTAGCTGTATCTGTAGCTCTCTCTCCTACTCTTTTTTTTTTTTTTTTGAGTTGGAGTCTCACTCTGTCGCCCAGACTGGAGTGCAGTGGCCGCTCCCAGCCACCACAGCCTCAACCTGCTGGGCTCCGGTGATCCTTCCACCTCAGCCTTCCAAGTAGCCGGAACTACAGATGCGCGCTACCACGCCCAGCTAATTTTTGATTTATTGTAGAGATGAGGTCTCACCAAATTGCCCAGGTGGGTCTCAAACCCGCGGGCTCAGGCAATCCACTCACCTCAGCCTCCCAAGGCGCGGGATTACAGGCTGCGCCACCGAGCCCGGCCTCTCTCCTACTCTTAACCTATCAGAACGAGAACCAATTTACAGGGATAATCTTTAACCCAATCAAACTTTTTTTTTTTGAGTCAGAGTCTTACTCTGTCACCCAGGCCGGAATGCAGTGGCATGACCATGGCTACCTCAGACTTAACCTGCTGGGTTCAGGCGATTCCTCCACCTTAGCCTTCCAAGTAGCTGAGACTGTAGGTGTGCCACCACACCCGGCTAATTTTTTTTATTGTAGAGCAGAAGTCTTACCATGTTGTCCAGGCTGGTCTCGAATTTCTGGGCTCTGGCAATTCTCTTGCCTTGGCCCCCTAAAGTGCTAGGATTACAGATATTAGCCACTGTACCCGGTCTAAACTTTTTTGTTTTTTTGAGTTGGAGTCTCACTCTGTTGCCCAGGCTAGAATGCAGTGGCATGCTCACGGCAGCCTTGACCTGCTGGGCTCAGGCAATCCTTCCACCTCAGCCTTCCAAGTAGCTGGAACCACAGGTGTGCAGTACCACACTTGGCTAATTTTTTTTTTATTTATTGTAGAGATGAGGTCTCACCAAGTTGCCCAGACTGGTCTCAAACCTGTGGGCTCAGGCAATCCTCTCACCTCGGCCTCCCAAAGTGCTGGAATTATAGGCACCTGGCCTCCATGTACTTTCAAACAAGAAATGGAAATACCACTGTCTCCATGAAAAATCCTACAGGCAGCATCAAGTCTACAGAAGGGGTCACAGACTTTGAGGTAAAGGTTCACCATGAAGAATCTACATTTTCATTCTAATAGCACTAGACACCAAGAAAGGAACAGAAAAACCTTGGAATTTCTAGCAAAACAAATTTTGCAAAAGACCTAAAGGAAGATGATCACCTTAGTTCAACTCCTTCATGGAGACCCTAAACATGAATTAGGTAAAGGCCCCTCCACATTACTGAGAGTCAGGATGGAAGACAGGACAAACTACTTTTGTTTAGGAGCAACTTATCAGTATAAATACAGGTTTAAGAACTGAAAAATTGACCAGGCTCAGTGGCTCAGTCTGTAATCCCACGCTTTGGGAGGCCAAGGTGAGTGAATTGCACAGGTTCGAGACCCGCCTGGGCAACTTGGCAAGACCTCATCTCTACAATAAATCAAAAAAAAAATTAGCCG